CCACCCAGCTAAAAAATATCGAGATATGAATTTTAGGTCATATCGCCCAGCCCTAGTATGTAGTTGTTGTTTTCTGCTTCTTTATACTTTGTTAAGTATACTGACAAGTGTGTGCACACTGTGTCAACGACTTTAAGACTTTTTGCAGCTTTTTCATATTTGGTGGTTACCTTCCTCTTGGTGCAGCCAGACTGGACGAGGATGGCAAAGTCTCCGATCTCATGTGGGACCTCATGAAGCAGGATGGTGATGGTGGTGACGGTGCCCACAGCTGGACCAACCAGGAATGAAGCTCCAATTGCCAAACCATCAGTGAAATTATGTGTGAAGTCAGCTGCCAGGTTTAGGTAACCAGACACCTTGATATCTGCATTAGTGGAAGGAACAGTGAAGACCCGAAAAATATGTAAAGTGTTTACTGGCTCATGGATTGATGCAAACAATGAGCTTTTTATGTTTCAAGATTCCCACAAAAAAACATAAACCCAATAAAAATGTGAACATTCTTTCCTCTCACACGCACATTAAAAACTTGATTCCAAACAGATTTTGAAAGACCAAGAAAACATGTTTGCAGCTTGGTTCTGTTTTGTGTTACACACAGCTGATCTCTGAAGCTAAGCAGGGTCGGGCCTGGTTAGTACTTGAATGGCAGACTGCCTGGTACCAGTCTGTTCACCATCTCACATGTGAACATGTTCTGTTTTATCCGCAACTTCACATTTTTGCAGATTCCAGACAATCAAGAATCCAACCTCCGTGCCACGTTAATTCTACCCCAGTTCCATCTAAAGTGGGAATTTGGAAATTCAGAGTTCGCCAAAGGGAATTTTACCCCTTAAAAAGTCAGAGCAGCCATACCACAACCCAACTTTACAATCCAAGATGGCAGCAATGTGAATAAACACTAGAAAATGGCATTTTTACTACCACTATTGTGTAGTTATGACTCGTAAAAATAAGCCACACACAGGCTGACGCACACAGTGACCAGGCTCTATCAGTGAACGCCTTGCAGCAGCATTTTTAAGAAGCTCAAAGAAGTGTGGGTGTGTGCAGGTTCAAATTCTGTTTGAAATCAGTTGCTTCAGCACAGAAACTACACTTCAATGCTTCACCTGTACTCTTTTTCTCCTCTTTCTTTGATGGTTTCTGATCTTTGCTTTCTTTCTTCTCCTTCTTCTTTTCTTTTTCCTCCTCTCCATCACTGTCCTTCTCTTTGGCAGCAACTGAAAAAGCCACACAGAACAAAGTTCAAAACACTTACAGAGAATAAAGCTGGGGAATCTAGTGAACATGCAGTTTTACAAAAGACAGACTTCTGAACTGAAAACAGCAACAAAATAACATTTACTACAAGCAGAAATCTGGTTTTTTACGCAACTGATCTTTTAGGGCAATTTAAAGGAGTTTGATCAAAAGAAGAGTTTCCTCCAGCGTACCGTGAGAGTGTCCATGGGAGTGTCCGTGGCCATGTCCTCCCTTCAGCAGACGCACAAATTTTTCCACCACTAGGAAAGCGATGATCCCACCGAGAACCCAAAGACCCACAGACATCATATGACCGTGGGCCGCTCCTATACAGGTAGGGAATAGAGAGCACTGCTTCATGAGCTCTGCTTGGCTTTAGAAACTCTGTTTTTTTTTTTTTTTTAAGTCACCAAAAAACAACAAACAAAACAGACAACATTAAAAAAAGGAAATCCCATTAATGCATACCGTGAGAGTGGCCGTGGTCATGCGACTCTTCAGTTGCATGCGAGTGTCCATGATCCCCATCTCCGTGATGTGAGTGGGGCTCTGTGCAAAACAAATATGACACGAGGAGACGTTAGAAAGACAAAGTGAGGATCGTGCTGCTCTGTTTTTCTCTCTCAGCTGTTTAACAAATCTAAAAGTTAAAACCAACAGAGACACCGAGCTGCTCATTTTACCATCACGGGCAATTATGGCTTTGACAGGAGTGCCAAAGCTGTAAAGGCACCAGTATACCCTCCGCACGGGTCGCGTAGCCCGCCGCCGCAACATCATCACGCAGTCACTTCTATTTAGCCGCTGCAGTATTCTCCTGAACGACAGGTGTCGCCACTTGGACAATAACACCACATAAGTGCTGATACAGGAAGAGAAGAAGTCAAAACCAGACGCAAAGACTTTGCCCAACTACAACCTTACTTTTTTCCACAAAGTGTCATATTTTCTAACTGTTGCAACATCTCTCGCTGTATATATGTGTTTACTTTTTCAGTGCCCGACGTGCAAAATCACTGGACTGAATATCACTGTAATCAATTAAAAACTATTGTCTCTGTCATATGATCTTTGTGATTAATGTGAGCATATTTGTGTGCTACATTGTAGCCAGTGCGCCCCAGGGTGGCTGTGGCTACAATGTAGCTGCCATCACCAGTGTGTGAATGTGTGTGTGAATGGGTGGATGACTGGATGTGTAAAGCGCTTTGGGGTCCTTAGGGACTAGTAAAGCGCTATATAAATACAGGCCATTTACCATATTTGAAACACTTTATAAATACTTAAAACCTTCACTTACATAAACCTACAGTAAAAAAAAGAAAAAGGAAATGAGAATGGAACTCGTACTCACCCAGAGCATGTGGTATGAGGTGGAGGAAGGCGTCACCCAGCAATCCACCAGATGCGAAGCTCAGCAGCACTTTGAGCAGATTCTGGTGCTGGTCGCTGTTGGACTGAACTGGGATCAGAAACAGGATGAGGAAGGGAGCTGCACTAATGAGCAGGGTGGCTCCGACAGCCTGCAGACAAAGATGAAGGAGGGAGTTTAAATTTCAAATGCTTTGTATTCATGTGAAAGATAATCCTTAACTCACTAAAGAAGAAACATGAAGGAAAATATATAAACTAGGAGAGGAAAAAAAAGGAAAGGATACAAATATAATATAAAATATAAGGATAAAATATAATATTCTGAGGTTTTTGGATCTGTCAGCACAGAGCTGATGACTGGAAAACAAAACTAAAGAGCTTCTGGCTCAGACAGATTTTGCCATTTGGATGCCGACTGTAACTCCAACTTTGTTCTTCAGTAGTAACAATGCACCACTGCAAGGCTGTGAGTCATTCAGGGAACAGACAGCGCATTCAAGTTCCTCAAAATAAGAAAAAAACGAGAGCCAGGGAAACTCTTTAGAGAAGATACAGATAAAGGCACACAATAAGTTGCATACAGATATCACCCAGTTGTGCAAAACTCCACAAGTCAATTCGTTATGAGATCATAACGAGTCTGATTTTGTCTCAAGAATCCTGCTGCTTTGCTGCACAACTATAATTTCAAAAGAATGTAAACCATGATCAGCAGCTCGCAATAACAGACCTCACACTACAAACTAAGGCTTTAAAAAGCAATTTCATTTATGAAGCCTTTGCTGCTTGGTTGGGATCGACACTTGGCTTGAGCATCATACTGTGTATCTCACTACCAGCTTTGTGATAGTCTCATAAAAGTCTATAACAAAGGTTAGCTTGTTGTTTTGAAGAGCTTCGATGTTGTGCTGGGAGCGGTGGATTGCCATTTGTGGAAAGAGTGCAGTTTGCTTTTTATTATCACATTCTTGTCTGTTCATGCAACACATCTGAAGTAATGCCAATAAAGGTGTAGCGCGCTCTGACAGACCGACCTGCAGTCTAGGAACAGTTGCAGAGTTTTGTGTAAAATGGCAAACGTTTTTCTTTTCAAGCATCAAGGAGATAATCAGAGAAAATAATTCATGACATATTTTGTTTGATTTGTAAACATATTGTGATGAATGAATTTACAGTGCAGTAAAAGGTTGATGTTTCTTCTTTACACACAAAATGTAATCTGATTAAATACATGTGATTACTGGCGATAGTAAATGGTAAAATGAACATTTGTTAATTATCTAAATAATCTGTTTATTTTCATATTGTTTTCTACACTGTTTTTTTTACTAAAAATAAAGTGTATTTAACAAAAGTACTTATAAGAGTATAATAATATAGTTTTTCTTAGGCTGTGGCTATGACCCATTTATTTTTATTATTCACAGAAAATTTTGAATCTGACATTTGAAAGCTGTGGTTTACTGGAGGCTTATGAGACAGACGTTTCTCGTCTTGATGCTTTATAGAGTTTTACTGAGATGTGAACATTGTATCAACATACTGAAATCATCAGCAGGAAAAACAGGTTTATGCCACTATGATTAATTTGTCTTCAAACCCAACTGCTGAACCTAAACAAGCAGTCACTCACCTGTGTCCAGAGCTCCACCATGTTCCTCTTCTCTTTGCCCGCCTCCCTCTTCGTCCTCTCCCCTCCGTGTGAGTGCTCGTGTCCACCTCCCTCCTTGTGTACTCGAACAACATTCTCATGATGAGCATGCTCATGTCCGTGATCGTG